TCACTATTGAAAAAAGGTAACATACGCTTGAAAGAGGAAAACAAGGGCATCATACTCATAACCTTACTGCTCAGTAACATTTTTTTAATTATAAACACCAAGCTCACAGCTTACTTGTTTTTTTGTACTTCCACAAAATAATTACCAAAAAAAACAGATTGACCCACCACTCATTCGCTAATATTGCTTTTATAATAAAGTGGCCCTTTATGCTCACTTCCATCATGTTTCATAATTAAAGGTAATCCTTATTATTTATTATGCAGCTCTTAGGTCGTCACCTGTCTCCATAAAACCATTTCACCTTCCTTAAAGCTATTTTTCTTTTGATTGGCTGCCCCTCATAAACAAGGATATCAGCCTATGCTGTTCTCAGTTACATACGCAGACCTTTAATTTAAGACTTTGTCTAGGTTTAATATGAGCATACACTATTGTAACAGTGCATACAGATAATAAAGGCTTGATATGGCCACTTTATAGTCATTTGAACCATTATTAAAGAAGCAAAATGGTTGGGACAAACCTGCAGTTGTGACACTTTACTTCAGGTCGCTGTTTTGGTTTCTAGGCGTAAAGAAAATCCCCTGTTTCAGTTCAGCTTCGCTGCTTGTGTCAATCCTGTTTACTCCCGCGGCAGATAAATGTTTCCCCCCGATACCAAATGGCAGACAAACAAATTGAGTGCCTAGTTGGTGATGAGCGTAACACTTAGCAGCCAAGGACCCAGACACCAGCTCTCTGAAGAAGTGTTGCTTTTGCATAGACTTGCGATTATCAGCTGGCCATAAACATTACTCCAAATGAATGTTAAAGCTGCTTCATGTTAGCTGGCAAGTGTTTCCTAACAAGTTAATAAGGTGATAATTAGTCAATATCAGGTTTACAGCTTGAATCCATGTGACTATGAAATCCATTAGCTTTAATACCAAATGCTGCATATAATTGGCCCATTTCGCTAGGAAAATGTGTTTTTTTTGAAGTACAATTATGCATAATTGTCCAATCAATTATTGTTACAATCTGCATTTCAGGCCAACATCAGTCCAAGAGCTTTTTCCTACACACAGCAGAGCTTCATCAGAACAATAATTTAATTTGTGTTTTTAAAATTACACCTGAAACCTAACCAACTACTGATTACTGATTTCCAATAGCATAAACAGCAGTTATGGATAAAGCGTAATATGGATGGTATTCAGTAACCACTGAAATTTCATATACAGCTATAATGTTCTGACTGCCATTAAGCATGTAACTAGAGAAGTGAAAGCCTGAGTGGGGTTTGGAGCAGAGCTCAGTGTCTGTGGATTGTTCCCATGCAGCTGATTAACATCAGCAGTCAGATCTCTATACTCAGTGTAATTTCCACCCACTTTTCAGTGGTAGGCCCCTCTTTGCAAACCTGGTCTACATTAAAGAGCAAAGGGTTCTCTGGCTCCCTTGAGGTGCATTAACTTTCACTCGTTATATACAAGAACAAGGGAAATTTGACTGCTAGCAGAACTGCCAATTACAAATGCCCTTATGTTGTGCCTATAGCTCACCAACTAGTCCGGCAAAGTCACTTTGCTAGCTCCACTTTTGAATTTAATCAAAATGAGCCACATATATAAGAAAATACATCTTATTTAACAGTAAAGTGAGCGCTTAAGTGCACATAAAACCCTCTTATTGTATAGGTTTACTATAACATGTATCCATTTAGTTCTATTTGATACTTAAAAAAACTACAGACTTTAGCTTTAACACATTAAACGTCAAAGACACACATATAGCTTCAGAATGAGCAAGGCACAATTTTGGCTCTTCATCCCTGAAGCAGCCAACAAAAACAAAACAAAACCGGCTTGTGAACCAACTTCAAAGGATGTAAAACTTTAGAGAGGATTTTTTAAAAGTAGACACTCAAAAAAAAAGAAAAGGAAAAAAAGAAGTTTAAAGTTGTCCAGAGCTATGAGTATGTCAAGTGAAAAGCATTTTCACACAAGCTGATACGATTTGATTTGTATCTTTTTCCCTTCCTGTCTTGTCACCGAGTCTGGGGTATTTGAATCGGTAATTTCTCCGAGTGTGATGGGAACTGGAGGCCTGCGCAGCATCTGGTTGACTTGGAAACAGCTGTGTTTTCACAGTTATGACTGAGGGTTTATAGTCGCTCAAAGCGAGCCTGGGTTCACCGGGCCCGTTTAGCTAAACAATGTTAAATCTCAAGTCTCCCCCCACTACTCAAATTCCCACTGAAACACTGTTAATGTCAAAGTTACTCCTCTTCCTCTCAGAGAACGTGTAAAGTCAGCAAGTCTGGGCACGCCGAGTTCTGGGTTATTATTAAGTTTCCCATGTTTAATAAACAAAGACAGTTCGCTTTAGGTGTCATAAATGAACAGCCTTTATACTCTGTTCCTAGTTGTGGGCAAAAGAATACACAAATACTGTGAGGCTCTTCTGTTATTACTGTTTCACACCCACATGATGTGCTGTTCAGAGCTGCTATTGCAGCAATACATTCGAAACACAGATGATTTCTTAATCATTCATAATAACAGTTTTGGTTTCCTTTGAGTCATTATATTGCTCTGCTCAGCTCTCCCCAGATAAACCCCTTTGATAATACTAATAAATCCACAGCTGGTAAACAGCGTGTCATGGAACCCAACACTAGTTTCACACATGTTCCTCTCCTAATCTATGTATGTATGTGTATGTGTTATGTGTTAGTCCCCATAGGGAAATTGCTCCTCTGCATTTAACCCATTCACCCAGTGAAGCAGTGGGCAGCCACCAATGCAGCGCCCGGGGAGCAGTGTGTAGGGACGGTACCTTGCTCAGGGGTACCTCAGGGTAACCGTTCAGTGGAGTCGAACCCCCGACCTTCCGATCATGGGGCC